AAGAGTTGGTGGTGGGTGGTCTTACACTGCTAAATTAGCGACGGCTAGCGCAGATAGCCCTCGTGTAGCTTTGCGCAAAATTCAAAACAAACAAACATTATTAATTTAATTATGTTTTATGTTTTCAAAAATGTAAACTTGTAATTTATTAAGGACATTTTCAATTATTTATTATTGATTTTAGTGTAGACCCTACATTGTACAAATATCCTTTGCACAAATGCTGTACAAAACAGAAATAAATGTAATATAAAAATTCTGTTACCATTAATAAAGTTTTTTCATCTATTAAATGAAAATAGCTTGAATATCTTTGATATTATTGGTTTTCTATAGCATTTCTCATGATGGAGAAGACTCTTTTAGCCTCTCCCGGGATGGTTTTGGTCGTCAAAGTGTTTCTGAAAAGCGAAATACACATTTGGATACCCACAACACAGACACTTTTCAACGAAACAAACGAACCAAGGAAGAGAAAGAGAAACAAAAACAGGTTCTGAAGAATCAGCAGGAAAAGTTGGAGAAACAACAGCAGACAGAGGATCATCAATTTCATCTAAAGAAATGGGAGAACAATGCATCATCGCAGTACTCACAGTACAGAGATCAGCCTGATGGTGAGAACAGCAGCTAAATATTTTTTAAAATATATGCAGAAAAAACTTTTTTTTTAAATGTTAGAGTGCATGTATGCTAGTGTGACAGAAATAAAGATTTGTACATGTATGCAACAACCTTATGCTGATTAGTTTTCTAACATATTTGAAAGCTTGTTCTTAAAAATTAATATTCTTGAATTTTAGATATTATCTATGCTATAATTTCAGTGGAAATGAGGCTAGAAAGGTAAAACTTTCTTTAATAATCTCCTTTTGGAATACAGAGGGTAAACTTTAAAAACTCTAACAAAATTGTTATATTTTACAATTCATGTGATTTTTGACTTTGAAAAACCTAGGCACTTGAATGATAGCACTGATAAATAGAATTATTAAATGCAAGTATATTTAATAGTTTCTTATACTATTTATTTCAATATGAAAGTAATATAGATGACTTTTAATCTTCATACAATGAATCATGCACTCTAAAAAAAAGATGTTTTGGAAAATTTTTACTTTTATAATATTCCTTGAGATGATTACATTTGTATTATGTGGTTAACTGAATGATGTATTGTGTAACCTGCCTCCAACAAGTGTAATAGAGGAAGCGGGAAAGGTGGATAAAGTTTCCTTTTTTATTTTATTTTTTCATAAAATGCATTTTGAGAATGGGTGAGCTCACTATTTAGATCCAATGTGAATTATGTTAACATGAAATTAAATTATTTCTTTCAGCCCTATCACCACAAAGAAACATGATTATTAAGAAAGTGCCACTTCAGGTTGGACCATTCCTTGGTATGAGAAAATCTAGCAGTTTAGAAAGTCTTCAGACAGTCATGCAGGAGCTGAGAAGAGAAGAAACCTACACCTCATCTAATAAAAACTCTAACAGTAGAGGAACCAAAAATGAACATTCTCCTTCGACAGCTGATCACTCTTTTGAAGGAACACTCGAAACAGATACTCGTAAGTTAATTAAATGTCAAACTAATTGATATCACTCTTTTTTTATTCCAACTCCTTAACCAAACTTAACCATTCTTTGATAGATTGTTTAGGCAGAATATTCACGATGAAACTTTGTAGAATGGACAGCAACTACACTTGTGTCTCTACAACAGGCAGTTGCCATCCATTCTACAAAATTTCATCAAACTTAACCAGTTTCGACCAATGCCTGAAGAACGTTGCTTAAAGATTCAAAAAGCTTGCAAAAAGAAAAATGTAGTGAATGTCCAACAACTTTGTTTGTTGAAGACATTTTTACACCAAAGTCACTTTAAATTAATGATAAAGCTAGAATTTTTTCTATGAAATATTTTCAAAAAAGTTTGGCCATTTTGCTGGCAAACTTCATCATAAGTCAATATGTATTATAGTTATTATTTTTTAACCTATTTAAAAATGCATGATTATAAATGGCTGGACTAAAGAGTGCCATTAACACTGAAAAATGGAGAGATTTCTTTCAGAACAGATTTTTAATCACTTACACAACCAAATATCTGATGAAAATGTTTAGTTTATATTTTGAGTTAACATATGCACTTACTAATACTAGCAGTTGTTAGTAGTGGTGAACAGTGATGTTTAATTGTTTTGTATACTTTATTATATACATGTGTAAATATTTTGAGAAATTAAGTATATCTTTCTATATATATATATATATTCTTATTTTCTTTTTCATCTTTACTTACAGAGGACGAAGAAAGTGAAAGTGGAAGTTTAATCAGTGCTGAAAGTCATGGTTGTACTCCCCTGGTATCTGTGTTGAATCGTTCATCCGCCAGCAATGACCACATCCTTGATGAAGTTCTTAGTCCTCATCGTAAATCCTCAAAACGTGGCAAGAAAAAAGGTTTATGGAAAGGATTAGGTTCTGTGTTTAAGTAAGTCTTGTGTAATCACTTGTAATAATATAGTAACATTACCCAAAGGTGTCATCTTGTATATACTAAGTTTAATTAACCCTATTATGACCTGTGACCCAGTTCTTCAGAGTCAAGAGCATACTTGCATATCAGATTTCCTATATTAAGTACAAATACTAATTATAACCATGTTTCATCAATTCTTTTTGTCTTGAAAATATCTATGAATTGATATTTCATAACTTTTTATAACTTATGTAGTGTAATTTCCAAAGTAAAATTTAAAAAATTTTTGAACTTTGATCTCTGTGCAATTCCAATGAGTACCACCTGTAAACAAAGTTTTTACACATTCGTTTTAGAATTTGTTTGCCCTTCTCAAAATATAGGTTTATGTTTACCCAGATCATGTCGTTCCTTACAAATAGACTTATCCAAGGTTTTGTTTCTCATATTGACTTAATTTTACATTAATGACTGTTTTCTAGAAAGCTGTGTTGAGAAGCTGTTATGACACCACAATAATAGGGATGGACAGTAACTAATAAATCTTAGCCTCCAAACAAGATAGAACCAATGGTTAAACATGATTGGATAGAAAACATTTTTTGTCTATCTACATCAGGGTTTCTTAACTTGGTGAATGGTTCACCCAGGGGTTAATGGGATCAGAACAACAAATTCAAGAGCAAAAAAGTCATTATTTATTATTTTATTTACTTATTAGTTTATTCTAGTTGTAGTTTCATAAATACGTTTATTTTTTGCTTATTTTATATTGTATTCATTCTAGTACAGTTTGATGTGTATTTAAGTCATGATAAAGAGTTTTGCATTTTAATTTAGTAATTTTTTGTCTTTTTACGAACTGGGATGAGTGAGCTGTTGTGAAAAACTTATGGGGGTGAATGATATTGGACAAGGTTGAGAAGCATTGATCTATATCATTGTACAGTAAATAACTCTTGGGTGAGGATACTAAAGTTGTAATGTATGATTTCTGTAAAAGTGAGTAGCATATGTTATACTGTGATGTTTGCAAAACTTAGGAACAAATGATAAACCTGGGAGTTTTTTACTTTAACTATGTTTTTGTGTTATATATGTTTTAAAGTTACAGGAATATTGTTACGTGAGAAGACAAGGTAAGAATATTTAGGGTTAGTGATTACACAAGTTAGGAGTTCTGCAATGGCAAACTTTAGATGACAAAGAAGCTTTTTTTTATTTGTGTGTATTAATAAATTTATTATAAATCAATATACAAGTATGAGAACTCCCAGTTATTGAAAACAAACTATACTTATTATAGAAAAATTTGTCTTGACCAAAAGATATAGTTAGAAAAATATTGGCTATATCAGTGTAGGCCTAGGATACGAGTGCAAGTTGTGTTTCAACCACTAAATGCTTTTACTGTTTATCATTTGTGTTTCAACCACTTAATGCTTTTAGTGTTTATCATTTGTGTTTCTACCAGTTAATGCTTTTAGTGTTTATCAGTTGTGTTTCAACCACTTAATGCTTTTACTGTTTATCAGTTGTGTTTCAACCACTTAATGCTTTTAGTGTTTATCATTTGTGTTTCTACCAGTTAATGCTTTTAGTGTTTATCAGTTGTGTTTCTACCAGTTAATGCTTTTACTGTTTATCAGTTGTGTTTCTACCAGTTAATGCTTTTACTGTTTATCAGTGTTCTATGTAATTTTCATGGTTAAATAACTGCTTTAATACATAAAGACAAATTATTGAAGAAAATAAAACAAGTTAGGGCTAATTAGATATATAAAATGGAACTTTTTGATCAATAATATTAAAAAAATCTAGTTTTATTTCTTTCATATTTTCAATGGTTGCTTTCTTTGTATGTAAAAGCTTGTATAAACTGGTGAAAAAGGAGTATGCCATAAGTAAAACAATACATACACACAACAATTATAATTTTATTGAAAAAACTACTATTGGATACATTTACATGATTTTAGGCATACAAAAAAAAATGAAAAACAAAGATAAAGTACTTTTAATGTATTTAAAAACAGTAATTCCTAACAACATTTTTGAAAATTCACAACTTAAAATTATATATATATATATATTAAACCAAATTATATAATTTTTTTAAATCATAAACTGCATATCACGTGGAAAGTGTGTACCAAATTTCGTACAGTTATATTGAGCATTATAAATGTGAGCTCAAAACAAATGGGTGAGACAGCCTTACCCCTCTGAAATGGATAGGGTCAAGCTGTTTTTATATTTTTCATTTATTTCAGTTTTAATTTTCAAATGCTTTGTAGCTTAAAATATTTGTGACAGAAACTATGAAAAGACCAAATAAATTTATACAGATAATTGCATTTATTTTTTAAATTATGCTCTCAGAGTTGGTAAGAACAAGAAGTCACAAGGGAGCATGAAGTTGGCTCAAGACCATGAGTTAGAGGAAGGGGAAAGAACAAGGAAAGCTGCCCAGGAGCAGCAAGAGAAGTAAGTAACATGTTCTCACATTCTCCTTCAAGTTCAGTGTTATCACAGTATGAAATACCATATTTGGTATTAGGAGAATTTGGTTTTATAGTACTATACAAATAATTGTTAATTTTGTTCAATATATGATTGCCGTATAACAACAGAAAAGCTCAAATGCTTCTTAAATAAATAAAAATTAATCAGGCATAAACTATTCCAAAATAAATGCATTAAATGTTATGTAAACTATAGTAACATGAAACAAAAAAATTTTAAGCATTTAAAATGAGATCAGTTCTATACAAAGAGCAGACTAAATTAAAAAATGTTAACCCAAAAGTTATAGTATTTGTAAGTAAAAATAAAATGCAGAAAAAATATAACTTTTTTTTGTGACCTATGTTCCAAGAGCTCTGTTTTTAATGTAAAAATATAACTTTCTTAATTATTTTTTTAGTATGTAGTTTATGCTCTTGTCTTTTTGTAAATATCTCTCAATCTATATTCTAAGTTATGTAATATGTAATATTTTTTCTTCTTTTATTAGGATAAATTATTAATACATTTAGAGTCATTTAAAACTTGTTATCCATACATATAAATGTGTATGTTACATACAGACATGAATGATGATAAAGAAAATAAAGAACCAAACTTTCATTAATGCCTTATTTTACTCCAACACTTATTTGTTCACAGTCTTGCTCATACAACAGATGCTAACATTTGATAATGGCTTTTAACATACTGTTCTCAATTAGCATCTAGTTGAGGTCAGTTTGACAAAACTATATGCTAGTATTTCTTTTGCAATGACAAGGTTTAGCATGTTTATAGTGAACTGAGTTTTACTTTATGTTTTTTCTTTGCAGCATTTTCAATTTATACCTAGTTAATGAACTGGTCCATTATTTTACAAACATAGAGCACAATCAGTCAAACACAAAACTCCTGTGTGTTATTAAATTGTGTGATTTTTTTTCATAACTACAGATATTTAAGGGCTAAGTGTGCCCCATGGTCTCTTTCCCATTACTGCCAAAAAAAATAGTCTTTCTTTGCGGCCATGGCTGAGTTATAAGAGTGACTATCAAATCCCACTCTTTGACAAGAGTTGGGGGTGGGGGCTATTGAGTAACTGCCTTTCCTCTAACCTTTCTCTTCAAAATTAGGGATGGCCAGCCCAGACATCCTTTGTGTGTAGTTTTGTGCAAAATTCAACAAGTAAAACCAAAAACATCTTCATTACTTTCAGTGAGAACAGAATACGTACATTAAAAAACTGTTTAGACATTCAACAAAATTAACTTCAAAATTATTGTTGAATTCACCAATTTTTGTTCTGTCTTCTCTCCCCCTCCCCACTATGTGTCTCCCAAATCTAGTTTCTGCCCAGGGGCCCTACCTTAAGCTCTCTTTGCTATTCTTTAATTAAATCTTGTCTTAGAACTTGCGAAATTTTTATCATTAGAAATTGCTAATATTAATCTAACAACTTTGATTTTCAAAATTTTCTCTCTAAAAATAAAAGTAAATCTCTTAATTTAAACTTGTTTGTGTGCTTTTTTTTTCTTCTTCTTCTAATCAATACAAGAAGCCCACTCTTGTTCTTTTGATTTGCCCTTGTTAAAGGTCACTAATGAGGGGGGTAATTCCCAAGAACCTGTATAATTTGGTAACAAGTGATGAATAATAGTCTGGGCTTCATATATGTTTTTAGTATTTTAAACAATGCCTGAATAATTGAGAAGAATAAAGTAGCAGCATTATCGCTAGCTGTTCTTCGACCCCTATATAAATATCGGTTCACTATTGTGAGAAAAGGACAACTAAAAAAAACCAAACATGTGATGACCTAATATGTTGGTGTGCATAGAAAGAACTGTACAATTGTTTGTAGTTTTATGAAAAAGTAATCATGCATATTTCAAATACATCCTACAGAGCACTGAAGCAGTACAGAGAACTTGTTGATAGAGACAGAAAAAGCCATGCAATATATGGATCTGCTCGTTTCCCTTCCACGAGCCCTTTTTCAACAAGATCAACTCTTGTTACTGAACAATATCATGAAAGACAGGAACGATTACAGCAGCTTCATGCTGAGCATCAGAAGAGACGTGGTCATTACGTGAAGGATGAAATGGAAGAGCTTTATGAGAAAGAAATAAGAGAAGCATTGGCTCGACAACCGGTATAGTTTTATTAAATTTCTTTAGTGCATGCATATATTGAGCATGTTTTCATTTTTGGAAAAAAAAATTTATTAGAGTAGAATTCAGTTTGAAATTTTTTCAGTTCAAATTATCAACTATTATAAGTTAAGTAATTATTATTTCTTAAATTATATTACTAACCATTAGACTATCAAAGGAATTATTAGCTTGGATTCTTCATATTGAAATATTATTAAGTATAGAATTTACAATCAAATTCCACATAATTTCTGTTACATTATTTGCAAATGGAAAGTCTGAAATGTTTTTCTGCAACTTAATCAATTATTTCTAGAATTTATAATTTTATGTAAACGTATCTCTGTGAAAAATATTTGATTTTCTTGTTTTGGCACTTAGTTAAGTTGTATGTGTGTAGATTGGCAGTTTTAAATTTAAATATATTGATTAATCTCTGTGTTATGTGTGTATTTAACAGTACTTATAATATACTCAGTGTGTATACGAGGTTAAAATCTTGATAAATCCAGCCTGATTGTACTTGTGTTGTATCTCATTGACTGATCTTGAAACTATACATACTATAACTTGTAATGTAGTAATTCGGCAAGGTTTTAGTAAACATTACAATACTTTTGTAAACAAAAAATCAAACTTTTTAATAAAGTATTTTTATAAAGATTTGTCTGTGAATGTGAATTTAGAAAGTTTTTACTGAATCAGTTTGATTGCAAGATCAATTTCATGTTAAGAATAAAAATACTTTTCTTCATCTTAGTTTTCTAATTTCATTGGCATAAACTCTTAACACTTCTTAAATGAATATTAAATGTCTTTTCAGTAAAACTTTATATTTTATCTGTTAGTTTCTCTACCCTAACTTCTTGTATTGGTCTCAGTCAACTTGACCAACCATGTAACAAACAAATATGAAGTACCCTTTTTTTTTCTTTCTAGAATGGCTGGACATTATAACAGACAATTACACACTGTTCATTTTTACAGCTAAAGCTAATAATTTTCATTTACTTTTATTCCATTACAGTTGGATTTAGACCCTCTTCAGTAAGCAATAGCTATTTGTCATGTGCAACAACTTTGTGTAAACAAAAGATCAAGTTACCAGCACATGTTCATCAAATTACACAACCACTCTTGTGCTGAGCATCTGCTGCATGAAAACTTTGTTTATTTACATTTTCTTATCTAACGTAACAAGTGTCTGATTTTCACATTTTAGTTACTTTTTTAGTAATAAATAAAAAACAAGACATTTAGTACTGATGTCTGAAATCTTGTCTTTCTAGAGCTTATGTACTTGTTCAATAAAGTCCACGTCAAACACTGATCCTAATTTTTGTAATGATAGTGTGATATAAGAATTTTGTTAAGAATTCAAGTATGCAATTTAGAATATGAAATATTGCCATTAAAATAAAATAGAATGTCCTAAAACTAATATAATTCTAACTAAGCTATAGATGTGTTATACAATTCACATACCTGGTCAAGCAGTTTCAATGCTGGCATACAAATAATAGGACACCTAAACATTCAAAACTGATTATCCCAATAGCTACTAGCCTTGTCCCATTCAATAAATTGGAATCTTCATTTTCTGTTGGTTACAAATAATTCAATAGCAAATGTCATAGAGAATTATTAGCATTTTTGAAAGACAAGATGCCGTAGGAGGGACATGGCATGTGGGTATGACTTTCTAGTTTATATTTTCATAAAGCAAGAAGGATAGAGCTTATAAATTTACATATTAGTTTGGGAATATCTAATGTAACTCAGCAAATAATGTAGGAGTAACAATTAAGTTTAAAATAAGCAATTGAGAGCAAATAAGTGTTACGTGATACAGTGAAGATTGAGAATTTATATAAATACTTCCTTTAGAAATTAAAACTTGTATTAGCTTATGAATCATAAACTATCTTTTGATCCAAAGTTATTGATGTGCATTTACAATAAAGTTGTTTAAATAAATTCTGAATGTGACACTGTAAAAAAGATTGTAACATGCATTTTGACCCACCTATGCTTGGAGAGTTCAGAGACTTCAGTATCTATTATTGTAGCTTCCAATATGCTTCTTTTCTGAAGAATATCTTTTAATTAGGCTTTCTTGAGTACTAAAAAAATAGTAAAAAACTTCATTTTTAATTTTAATAAATAGGCCAATTTCAGTTAAAGAAAATATACTATTTCACACTTTCACAAACAGATTATTTAATTTCATGGAAGGGCCGGCATGGCCAGGTAATTAGGGCGCTCAACTCGCAATATGAGGGTCGCGGGTTCGAATCCCCATCCCACCAAACATGCTCGCCCT